ATATATATATATATATATATATATGGGGAGGTTTACATGGAAACTCCCAAAAAATGAAAATTTTAGGAACACCCTCACCCTTCTAACCATTCATCTGAACAATATGCACATATGCGTACAAGTAATAAAAAAATGTTTTAATCATGTGTGCACGTTATACACATGTGCATACCTGAAAAATTGCTTATAAATTACTTGTATGCACATGTGTCTACCATCCCGATGAATGATTAATAGAGTGTTCCTCAGTTTTCATGTTTTTGTGGTTTATCCTGAATCTGACCTATATATATATATATATATATATATATATATATGTGTGTGTGTGTGTGTGTGTGTGTGTGTGTTTTTTTCCAATGAGAATGAAAGTTATGGTGAGAGAGGTAAGAATGGATCTCCATTTTTTGATCAATTCTAATTGAAGATTAACGCTAACGCGGTATACCAAGATGCACCAAATCAATTATAAATATATTAACGGATCAGGTGAGCCTACCAAAACCTTTTTTTACATCCCCTATGTCTGTCCATTAATTTTAACTTGTCATTTCGAACAAGCCCATTTATTCGAGATGATAGTTCAAGCCTACTTTTCTAACAGGCTTTCTGACCCGACAAACACGTGAACAGCTCTAAGGTGCAAGGATCTATTTAAACAGTGTCCAAAGTGTGAGGACTGAATTTGAAATTTGACAAACACATTCAATTTAAAGTAGAATATGCACATGTTTTTTTTAATATGATATTAAAACTTTTCGTCTTTTTATTTTGCTTCTACAAGTTTACTTACATATTTAAATAATAATGTAATGAAATACGTACATACGGATCAAAAAATTGGGCTTTTCTAGACTTTTCCCGTCACCATTTTTCTCTTAGACCAACTGTCGGTAACTTATAGACATAACAAGTCACTAGTAGGATCCAACTGTCGAGAAGACGGCAAGAAGAACATGAGATATCGAAGCACATTACAAACAGAAAATAGGCGATCGTCTTAAAACGTAAAATGTTCAAACAAGGTTTCGACGTTACATTTTCATCGACAGAAATCGAGTGACAAAATTCTTAATAAAATACAGAATATGTAATACAGGAACGTTTATTTATTCAAACAAATGGGTTGTGCTGTCCTTTGCCATGGCTTTGGCTCAAACGGACGTCCACCAAGCAAAGACTCGCAACGACATAAATACTTAAAAACACGACGATGACCGACCTGAGAAAACATGAATTACACTGGAAATCATCCGATTGTGGTTCTTCTCAACAAGCCTGGAACGAATAGATAGATAGATACAAGATATCACCATCCTCCTTAAACAGCTATCTGGCTATACAACAGCCTGCGGATCTGCAAAACAAGAAAGCTTAATCGAATAATCGGACGGGAAACAAAAACCACGAAATTTATTGATTTTTTTTTGTTGGCGGGAGAGAGGGGAGGGGTTGGTTGGGATATTGGGAATACGTGAGACCAAGGGCGGACCTACTCTTATGCATTTGGTACATGGGACAGCACAAAAACTTGTCCCAAATTTGTTGCGACATTAAGACTGGAACAGGACAAGTCTTAAGTGACAAAAATGCATTTGGTGCGACATTAGGGGTATGGTTGTCTGTGAAACCACAAAATTCAGGGGGTTAAATGTAATTTTTTTAGGTCCTTTAAGCTGAAAAAACACAAGTTTTTCTAGGTGAAACCATAAACATTAAAACTTCAGGGGTTTATATGAAAAATTATGAAATAAAAATTTTCAACTATATTTTGTGATACCACCCCAAAAAAAATCCGGATCTGCCTGTGCGTGCTACCACGTAAAACATTGAGTTCATATGGTGAATCAATCAACTTGAGGTACATTAGTCATATTTTTTCTTAATGTACCGGTAGTTGTTAGTATTGCATTTTGTGTTTTCTTGTTTGTTTTAATTTTTAACCAATTTTCCTCGCGTATCCGTGTTGGCTCACATCTATTTTGTGTCGGTTTTACAAGTTCGGGGTCTACAAAGGAACTATTCTCAGACCCAACTCTGCACGAGATTTACCGGGTTTGTTTGGTTTGGTTAAGCAACATGAGGTAATTGGGATAACTGAAATTAGGGATGTAGAGGGTAATAAAAAAACCCGACTCCATTTGACTCTTACCTGGTATGTTGCTTTGCTTACTAGTAAGAGACAACACTCTAACTTACTTAACCGGGTAAGATTGTAGTCCACCAAAACGGTATTGTATCCAACAATTTACCCGATTAGCGCTTACCAGGCAAGAGTTGTCACCCTCACTTACCGGGTAACACTCTCCATCCTTATCATCGCTCTTACCTGATAAGATTCTTGGCCCTGGCTATGTTCATCCGGTAAGGTAAATGATGCGGTAGCGCTTACCAGGTAAGCGTTTAGTAAACGGCCCCTTAGGTTTGGTCAAAGCAGTTATTATCTAGAATAATTGTCAGATATCCAGACGTTCTGTTGAGAACTTTAAGATATTTTTGGGTAATTGGGGTATTCTGATTGTTTCTTAGAAATTTGTTTTCGGAAACAGTCTCTCTGTCTCTTGAGACAGGTAATATTTATGACATCTTACCCCCAGATCCCACCTTTGGGTGGGGTAATACTGGGTTAGTTTGGTTTGGTTTTCTAATAAATTTGCTGGATGCAATCTCTATGTTTGTTCAGATGCAGATATGCAATTTGTTATAACTTACGTCGGTATAAGAGTTATCACAATACATATATATAAATTGGAACGAACTACCTGGGGAAAATTTTGTTTTAAGAAAGAAAAGAGAAGGCTGTGAAAGGAGAGGTTACCTCTGGAAGTTTCCCACGGAATATAACATCCAAACGAGCATCAAGCGTATTCTCGAACACAATTTTACCATCCCGGGAAGCCAAAACTACACCTCCAGAGCTGAAACCCACGAAAGAGATCATAAGGATGTTTGTCAGATCTCCAAGTTTTAGAAAAATCATAGAAAGCTAACACGAATATAGAAAGAAATAAATCAAGTATTAGAACCTGAATTGATGAACGGGGAACTATTAAAATAGGGTAAAATGTATAAAATACAATTAAGATCGTCTTAGTTCCTGTTTAATGTAACAGAGAATTTTCTTTTTCAATCAATGTAACGAAGTTTCAAATTTTCCCATATAGTATAACAAAGTTTCCTATTTTTTACCTATTTTGGTCCGTAACATGCTGATTTTGTAACATTTTTAGAGGCATGGATTTCAAGTGTATTCTACACTTCACAGTAACCCTTTTGTAAAACTTTCATAAACGGGTATCCACGTCATCAAATGTTACAACATCAGGGCAGGTTACTAGTAAAAATAGATACATAAATAAGAAATTTTGAAACTTCGTGACATCGACATTAGGGAAAAAAATATTATTTGTCACACTGAATGTGAACTGAGCGAAATTTTGTTGCATTTCGCCCTATAAAATACTGCCTGAATTATTAATATATGCATGGTTGGACAAAAATAGAAATGTACCAGGAGAGAGCATGAGGATCATTATGCGAAGGGGCCGATGGAAGGTAGATGGTGTCAACTATGATCTCAGGTTCATGAACTTTCGTTTTCTTTGCATATTCTGCCTTTGCATCGTGCAGAACAGATTCCACCATATGCTTGTCTTCTTTTCGGCAACGCAATAACACAGACGGTTCTTTCAGTCTGAGTAAACTCTGAAAAAAACATAGATTGTTGGCAAAAAATGTTATACTGGTGAAAATACTCTTCCACAAAAAAAAATGTCATGGATTAGTAAATATGTCTTGGTTTTCAAGGATTAATTACTTCAAAAAATTGCATATGTTTTTAAAATGGAAGACAATCAGGGTTGTTCTAATATTTTTGGAGGCCCTATTGCACATGTACCAAAACTATAGATCAATTGGACGAGTAATAAATAAAACAAAATATAAAAGTCTATACAATATATTATATTAAAAGTCTTGCAAACTAAAAACAACAAAAATGCCTCAAAATGACAAAGTAACAAATAGGAGAATTCTTCGAAAGACGGAATAGGGAATCGCCATATCAGCTAAAAGAAAGGCTAAAGGCTAAAACATTATAATTGGGCTAAAGATTAAAACATATATAAAAGCTAAAACATGTATTGGGGGCCAAAATTTTAGGGGGGCCTGTTCCATATCTCGCATTGGGACCCCCTCGGCACAGCCAAAGATTGCATTTCAGCAATATCATTAATCATACAATAACATCTTTGTAGCATAGCAAGGTTTAATAGCTCCAGCATCCACTGAGATTCCTCTAGATGATATTAAAATGATTTGATTAGGAGATTCAAACATGGAAAAGAAAATCAAATGAAATTGGAAAACATACATATGGCACATGGCCTCCAGAAGCATAACCCCATACAGTTTTCCATCAGTTTCCTCGAGTGCACATAATATGGTATTAAAAAATTTTACATAATATGATCCATGTTTCATTAGTACCTGGACAATGAGAGATTTCAACAGTCCTTCATAGTTATGATGCTGTTGAAACTTGTGATGGCTCACATTCAAAAGATCCTTTGATGCTGCCTCTCTCATAGCACTAACCAAGTCATCCTGTGCTTGAAGAACCTTGATCCTAGAAGCATTGAGCTGCATGGAATATTCACTGCAGCCAATATTGTAAAAAGTAATCAGATATGATCATATAAACACCAGTACTTCCAATGTCAATTGGTCAGATAAAGCTCTATTTCCAACCTCTATGTAGGGCTTATGAGGTTTAATTATTTCCATGTTCTTCTGGTAAAATAAGTCGTACAACATCTGAACATGGTTGCCTCCGAGTGCAGTATTATTATGTCAACAAACAAATCGAAGTTCCTCATGTTCAGAACTTGCAAATATACATATAAACAAATTCATGTTTGATAGATTGATCAACTAGGGCCCAGATTTGCTATATACGCGGCAAAGTAGTCCTTTTAAGTATATAATATTCATATATACAGCAAATACTCACACACACCTCTCACCTTTGGTGAGGTTTGAACCCTTGACCTCCTTGGAAGTTGCGCTATACCACTAACCCAGATACCAATTGGCCAATGACCCTTTGGTAAATTCTTTTCAACTAATGATGTTAACCACTCTTTGGAAATGGTAAAGTCTCATAGAGTTTAAAAAGTTAAAGCCAGATGGTGGATGATGGACCAGTACATCACTACTTCGTAAGCCAGATGTGGTAACATAGCCCTCAATCTTGAAGCAAGATCTAATGGACATTGTCAAGCCTTTTATCATCTAAGCTAGCAATTTTCTCAGATAATGCTCCAATGTGTAAACTAAATTAGCTTCTAGCAAATAAACACAATCATCAAAACCATCTAGCATCACCGATAAACAACATTACGGCCATCCTCAGCCTATTAAACCAATGAAGAGTAGTCACAAATGAACTAGCGTATGATGTGCAAATCATGTACACAGAAAAAAATGAGTAAAGATCTCTGAAAAACTTTACATTTTCTTTCGAACTTCAACTTGCTTCTGTTTGCGGTCATACTCCTGTCGGATCTTCTTTTTCTCTGCCTCCACTAATTGCAACTTCTCGATGTTAAATTCCTGAAATATTTGATCGCATAAACAAATTAATTTTGTATGTTGACTCCTGTACTTAATCCTCTGCACATGCCTATGTAATCCAAAACCTACGGTACAAAACTGATGGAAACTGACTGCGTAAAACCGTGTTCCTTTGGTTTCAGTGACACATTCCATTCCAACAACCAATAGCCCAAAAGAAACAGATAAATTTGTATACATGTATATAACAAGAGCAAAATGCCAACTCTACTTTCTTTAGCTACTAGTTAGACTGCAATTAAATTGCATAAATTGACTTTCTCCAGTTTGATTTGATATAATTTACTAACATGTTAGATCCCTACAAAAATCACCCAAAGATTCAGTTAAAACTGTAATCTGATCAAATAATCAGCATACAATTTCTTGAACAACAAACTGGAATCACACAGAATTTATTTGATTGGCTACTGTCCCATTTTACCAACTAATTGCTACTTGTCAATTTTAAATCCTACAACAATCAACCGAAGAAGCACATACTTATATTATACACTGAGAACACTGTTAACTAGGATTTTGTTAACTCTAGATTAAATTAAATTGAAGTGCATAAAATTGAATTGATATGCTTTGATTGATTTACTAAATAATTGCAGCTTCTCAATGTTGAACCCTACAACAATCACCCAATAATAGGACAAAAGAGAAAACTGTATCCTGATTTCATGATTGGTGTACAAGGCACACAACTTTGTAACCCTAATTTATTTCACTACAAGTCAGATTGAAATTTAATTACGTAATATTGACTTGATTTGATTTACTAACTCGAAACATCTCCATATTAATGGCTATAACACTCGACCAAAAAAGCATAAAATATATCTCTTAATAGCGTTAGTAACTTCAAAAAACCAAATTAATCCTGCCTTTTCTACTCAGATTAGACAGGGATTTTGGTAGCGTAAACAGCAAAAGTAACTTGATTGAAACGATTTACCGACTCTCAATGTTAATTCCTGCAGCAATCAACCTAATAAACAAGTAAAAACGGTACCGTACACGTCTACCAAATCTTACTCTTCTTGCTATAAATCATGAAATCGAAAACTTAGTTAAATAATTCGATTTAGATAGCTAAATCCACTTCGATTTACAAGTTGAAACCACCAAACACTAAATTCCTGTAGCAATCAACTAAAAAATCCGACAAACATCGTATTTCGATCACGATGCAACTTGACAAAGTTACTTAACCTTAGATACTTACCACGAATCACAATGAAAAACTAACTGAATCGAAAGAAAATTTCCTTGATTTGATCAGAAACTTACTTCCTCGGCGGAAACGGAGATCTCGTTGGCCTTTTCATCCGCTTCTTGGCGGATGAATCTGACCATCTGCTGAATCTGTTTGGAGACATCCGTGTCGTTCATCGTCGGATCTGAATTCGGAGAAAACAGAGAGATTCGTGCGAGATTTTTCCGATGGCTATTGATAACGAGATTGGGGCAGATGGCAGATCGAACGAGTGGTGATATGCGATTTCATGTATTTAGTTTTAATCGTCACATGAAACATGTTACATGTTCTTACTTTTTTACAACCAACGCTTTATTTATCTCGAAATTACGAAAACAGTCCCCGGCTTTTCCTTTCGGTAAAATCGATCCTAAAGAAAATGGAATCAAACCAATAAAGTAGTCGTGAAGTTAACGGAATATTCTTTATGTACGTAAACCATCAATCCGAACGCTAATTATTGTCCTGTATAGTTATGAAGTTGGCCAACAGAAATCGAATTCAATCAACCCGAGGTGGTTTTTTAGTGTGGTTTTCGGGTCAGCTTACGTGCACCGCCTAATCCCCTGGACGACCACGAATGGCTTGGAGTCATCACAATTCGCAGGTGAACCTCCATGGCCACAAAGGACTTAACGTAGAAAAAATCTTCAAGATATTTGAGAATTATCCAACTTTTTATATTGTCGGGTTCAATGAATTGAATAATAGACATTTGTTGTCGTTCCAACCCTCATGTGCCTTTTATGGCCACATATCTTTCTGGGTCATCAAACACGAAACCATCTAATGTGAAAACGACCCAGTTACATTTTTTGATGTGTTGGGTTCTGATTCTCATAATTTGTAGATATAAAAACAATCGATTTTAAGAATAGATGCAAAATCAACCAGCTATAATTGTATAAAAAACACTTGTTTAATGTCACAAACATTTTTAGTACCTACAATTTGCTGGTTGTTAGATTTTGGAAACAGAATATCAATATACTTTGATAATTCAAGGATCCTGTATAAAACATTTTCCAAAATATGTAATTTCGACCCTATAGCCTGGGGTACCACGAAATCAGATTTGGGATAATCCAAGAACAACGATCTGGATTTCGGGCAAAATCCAAGATCAAGCACAAAATTTCCTTGCTTTTGTTTATGTACCTTAAAAGACAAAAATCCGGCAGAGTAACGGTATACACCAATATCATAACGCTTCAAGTATTGAAGCGAAACCTTATATATAGCCACTGGCGGTTAATTTGGTTAATTTGGCGGCAGTCGTGTCTGTTCCCAACAGATGCGACTGTTAGGGAGTTGGGATTCATTTCTAACATACATATGAATTTTCGGATCGGGCGACCCCCTTGACCCCATCCGCTTACCGACCAGCGAGACCTTCACCAGGGCCAAGGGACGGACCCCAATTTTTTTTCAAACGGTGACACCATATAATTAATATAGTATAATATACATCTACAAATAATTACAAAAATTATGGTTTTTATAGTACCGATAAACAACTCATAAACTTGTACCCGACGCRTCTTCATCTTTTGAAAACGGTCAATATATATCCAAAAATAATTACAAAAAATATGGTTTTGGTTATTTGGGCTTTGTTTTGTTTGGGTTTTAGTTGCACCATTTGGATTTCAGGGAAATACAGTAGCACATTCTAAAACGATACGGTAGCACCGTTAACACACCTAAAATTTTTACCCTTCGGCCGCGAAATAATACGGTGGCACGTGCCACCCATGCCACCACACCAGGTCCGCCCATGCCAAGGTCGTTGCCCCCGGACCCCCGCGTACCTGAGCTCAATTTAACTTATCCGAGCATGCACTCCGCACCTTCAGACTCGAATTATAGCTAAGTCTAATTTCAGATTGTCTCACATTAATCCCAATTATACTAAATGGCTTGATGACACTAAAATCACCATCATTAATTACACAAAATGTTTGCTTCACGTAAACCGAACAAAACTTCTTCCTTTCGAGAGACAGGGATGACCCCTGTTTGGAGGATGTTTCCCTTGGGTATGAATGTGTACTAAATTATGTTCAGAAACATAATATGCACCAAGGGTACATGAGTAACATGTGTTGTTATAGAGATTCATCAACGGTAAAGAAAGCAGTTTTGCGGATTATGAATATTTTAGCATTTGATCGACATTTGTTAGTAAGACATTTTTCAAATATGTATCGGAAGTTGAGGAATATGGAACTCGGGGGATGTTTCTATCCCTTGTGAAATTTTGGATATACTTTGATGACGTAGGCTTTTTAGTGTACATGTTATTTTGGACCCACATAAGGGTACAACACGAATGTAGTAAAGATACAACAACCGATAATTGTTATAAGATAAAATTCGAAACGTTGGTGTGACACAGAGGACGTGAGGGTGTGTCGGCTTGTATGTATGTATATTGTGTGATACATGTGACCATAAATAGACAAGTCTGTTGGTTCGGGAACCGTTAAAACGTATGATTTTTCACTTTTTAGCATGAATCAAATGGGTGGGTGTAGGGTCTCATTTACCCGTCAATGAATTTATCTGTTTTCCAGTTTTATAAACAGTTGAAGAGTAAAATATGGTTATAACCACAAGGGTGGTGCCTGGTTGGTTTGAGTTTGGCTTCAAATGTTAAAAGTACCAGGAGGTCCCAGATTCAAATCCAATGAGGAATAAAAATCTTCTTGTGGCCACAGAGGTTCAAATGTGGTGACCCTGAGCTATTTGCAAAGCAGGTGGTCGCCATGAGATTAGTCGGCTCGCATAGCGGGTTGGATATCCAGGTTAAGAAAAAAAAATATGGTTATAAAAACTATTTTTTTTACTCTTATACGAATTTAAAACGTCGTAATGATTTCTTTATTTTGGAATATCTATACTATATTATAAAGCATTTGGCTAAAACTCTTAAAAACTCTTAAAAAAAACTCTTAAAACTCTTAAACCTGTTCATCCCTAAACGATTTCATCCCTATCCGATTTCATCCTATATCTGAATTCGTGTAACTAACTGTAGATAAACACAATCAAATACAGGATAAACATCT